TAAGTTATAGATGAACGAAAGTTTACATTGCTATCACAATGAAGAAAACGTTTTACTTTTATCTTAGAATTAACGACGCCAAATTATTCAACAAAGCGGAAAGTATGCTCTTATGGAAAACTTTTGATTTTTTGCGAAACGTGATATTTTTCTTAAAAAAACATTCCTAAAAGTACATGCATTAAATGATTATTTTATATGCTCAAAATTACACAGTCTGCTTTTCTCAATAAAATGTTTACTTTTTATTTGGAATTATAATAAGTCTGCTTCAAAGTTACAGAGGATGGTTAACTTATTTCCTCATTATTCGGAGCACAAATACGCATGTCATTCATGCACATAACTAATAACTTTCAGTACATAATAACTTAATAAATGCACATAATTACTTAATAACTTTTTAATAACTTTCAGTTGTACACATTTATCTTCACATTTCTGGATAAATATTTCAACTTATGGGACGCAACTTCATCACGGACAGTCTCTGAGCAATCCGGCGTATTGCCTGTCTTCGTGAAATTAATTGCTTTGTGCTTCAGTTCTGTTCTCTCTGTCGCACGGCATGTGTTGTTCCTGTGTAGGTCTGTAATGATTTAAACAAAAATATTCAATTGAACGGATTTCGGAGGCTGAAATGTAATGTCCGATATCCGGAGATTTATTTTCCAAATGTTTGTGGTTTTGGAGGCGGTATTATTTGAATAATGGAAGGCGATGCTGCACGACACTGGTATTTTAAAGAATTAAAAATCAAAGAAAACGCCAAATATGTTCATCATATCTTATCTTTAACGAAAATGTTAAGTAGACTTGGTATTTGTGTTACTACGAATGAGATAAATACTTGTTATACATTATAAAACATAAATAAAATCAAGAAAATAGCGCTTATTACACCTTCATATTGACCTAAATACGAGTGAAATTATTCAAATGATTTCTCAAATTTATATTTAAAGAGAATACTCATGAATTCAAAATGTATTTTTTTTATTTAATTAGATTGTTAATGATGAAACATCATTATTCGGAACCTAAAATATCGTTTGGTCTGGTTTGAGTTGGAATATCAGAAACAATTATTAGAAGCAGACAAGTTTAATTAAAAAATTGCTTTGCGGATGTGACGACAGGTCTATAAAATTTAATCAAATGATTATTTCGTAAGAATTATCACCAAACAAGGCAAAAGTATCAAGTCGCAAGAAGAGAATGTTATTTCTTCATCGTCGAGTATATACTTGAGGATGCCTAAATAGAATACAGTTTTCTATGTCAAGTAGGCCGATCGTAACAGAAAATGGATAAGTTTCTATGGATTACTGATACAGGTCATAAAAACAAGGTTTTAAAATAACACTTGGACTCGCTATTCGTTGTATATCTATTAATTTACACATATTATAATGTTTTATACTTCAGTGTATTAAATGTTAAAAACATCTCAATAATTTGCACATTCATGGTTTTGCAATATAAAGTGTAAACCGTGTTCACGATAATTCCTTCTAATCATAAAATAAATTTCAGCAATAAACGCAATGCGTTAAATTCGCATTAAAATCCATATGATTCCTTTTAATTTAAGCAAGAAACTCGTCTGGTACAAATGCTGACGCTCCGATTGCAAAACCTTGCTAATTCCTTCCTGACTGGTGTACAATTTGGCGCATATTCTTGGTGTAATTTCGCGCGTTTCATCGTCGGAAGAACCCGGCTGTAAAAAAAAACATGAAGCGCTGGCAATTCTGTAAGCGGACTAAAGCAATCTAGTTGGCTGAGCATAATTCTCAGGGGCGAGACTTTAGTGTTTGGCAAAGCGATAACTGTAGCCACCTGTAGTTCGCTTTAATCTAAAGCCAGCTGTAAAGAACACCGACCCGTACCTTGGAAAATAGAAAGACTGAAAGTTGTTTACCTGACAAAGAACGTGCCGCGCGTTACTGCGTCTCAAGTACGCTATACGGAGCGTACGAGAAACTAATCTATTTTATTACGTCGCATTACTGAGATTACTAAAATATTGTGACGTGAAATGACACGGCAGACCTTTGTTCACATTTTTTAATTGTTCATGAGGGATTGCTCCTCAAATAATAAAAAAAAAAAACAATCCTCAAAATCATCATTCCTCAATTGGCAGCAGGCCGAGGCATTCCAGCATATTTTTGTTGGGCTGGGCTCGTGATCGTCCTTCTAACTCACGTACGGTCTTCTCGCTCGAGGTCCCGGAATACGCGAATTCACTTGAGTGTAAAAACTTGAATCCAATATTCCATAATCCTGTCGCGAAAAATTAACCTATATTACTTGAACGTAACCGATACATGGAGTTATTGATCATTATTTATAGTGTTTGCACATTTTAGCACGTCAGGATTATCAACAAACTACCTTTTTTTTTCATAAAAGTACATTGTCCTAAGCGTTTCATGTATAGGCTATATCGTAGAGGCAGTTATAATTCGTTCCTTTATTGCTCTTATAAGCTGCTCCCAATTAAGACAACCAGCTAGCAGATTGGCCTATCAAAATATTTTGCTCTCCGTCCCTTCAACTCGTACCAACCGTCTTAACCCGAGATGACTGAACGAGACCGTCTGGACTGAGTATTACTCTTTCAATAATGCCAATAGGCCAATAATTTTTCATTCAATTGGGCTCTCTTATACATAAGACGTCCCCTTCGGAAGCCGTAGACTTCTTTCCTCGTCATTCTGTTCAAGACTTCAGATAATGCAGCAAAAATTTGCGAAACTAAGCCCAAGAAACGTTCGTCAAGGGCTTTGCCCGCTGGCGCCCTCGAGTCCTTGACAGGCTCACGGTATCTTTGGTCTCATTTTCTGGAATGTGTTCGACGTGGTTACGATCGACGTTTATCTTCGCGTCTAGACACTCCGGCTGTTTATTGACGGAGAATTTTGAGGCATTTAACTGATTTTGAAAGCAGCAAACTTTCCTCTGCTGGCAGAATATTCGAAGGAGCCGATAAATTTTCTTTCGCTTAAGGGGAGCGTCTGGGGTAAAATTTATCTCGGCTATTCACAGACGGATCACTCTGAAACTTGGTACACATATGTAAAACAGAATTCTAAGACATTTTTGTTCGTGTGAATTTTTCGAAAAAAAATGAAAGAAAACGTGAAATTATTAGAAAACGGCCAAAAAAGGGGGTACTGTAGAAATCTATCTCCTCCTAGGATTTTCAAGCTACAACATCGAGACACATATCATTCGATGCGTAAAAACCATATCTAAAACGTAACACGAGGGTTTTTAGGATTTCTCATTTTTGTGGGTGTGGGAGCATTTTTTGTAAATTTTTCGAAAATTTTTTGATTTTCCCCCCCGCCACCCCTCCTTTTGCGGAATAAAATCCAAACTATAACGAAATTAGAAAAACGCCCGTGTTACGTTCTAGATAATTTTGTTGCGCATCGAATGGTATATGTCTCATTGTTGTAGCTTAAAAACTCTAGGAGGAGATAGGTTTGCAGTGACAATAAGTTAACTTTTCAGTAGAGCCCACCGACCCCCCCCCCCTTTTGCAAGCTGTCGTGAACGCATAAATCAACGTACAGAGATGATTTTGGTACCGTTGGATAGAGCAGAATGTCAGCTTTGAGATGAGACTAAAAACCGGAAAAGCCAAAATTCAAAATTTTACCCCAGACGCTCCCCTTAATTGCTCCAATAGAAACGGTAATTAAAACCATAGGAAAATGCAGCGAATATATAAGGTTTACAATCGACGTCAATCGGTGACATTCTAAGATCTAAATGCAGGCTGCAGCTCCTGTGGCCCGTAGCTTCCGTTCTGCAAAAGTGTTGCCACAATTAGCTGCGTGGCTCCCAATTGATCATGGGCGTTACAGGTATTTTATTAGTGGATAAGTGACATACATGATGTAAGAAACAGCATAAATAGGAAATGCATAAAATACAAAACATGGAAACGAAGTTATTTTAGTTTCAAGAAGAAAATTTAAGCTCAAATCGTGGAAATTTAAAATTATTGCCAAGTCGACGTTGTAGCTCCTCTTTTTGAGCACAATAGCTTCTTGTGAAGTCGAATAAAATTGCAATATTGTATATCAATAAACAATCGCACAAAGAAATGTAGGGATAACTTAAGCCTGATTCAAGTTAAAGTTCATACGTTAGTATTCATAAGGGATGAAATAATTCCCGCTCATACGAGTTCATTGAACTCAAATAAAGCAAAACAAAAAATTCTTGAATACCCAGATTTTATAACCTACTTGAGTCCACTTCGTTATCATCCAATAATTTAAACCCATGTTTTAAGTTTTTGTTGCATATTTAATTCGTAACGAATTTTAATTCGTTCTATCCGTTCGAAATTTAATCGTTCCTAATAATTCTAATTCGTTTCTAATAATAATTCTAATCCGTCCGAATTTTAATTCGTTTTAATTCGTTTAATTCGTAACGAATTAAACTGAAATGTATATACTTATTAAACACTGTAAATTCTTGCTAAATTCATATTAACTCTTAAGGGCTACCTAATCTCTGCACGGGAATTACTCAACGTTCACGACGGTGGCGGCGTTGAAAGCATCGTCTTGCGACAGTGAAGAACGCAGTGTGGGGAGGGCTGTGACACACGATCTTTTCTTCGCTCTCTGTAACGATACTCTTAGTTTCAACTGTTCGTCTTCTCAAGCCAATTAGAAAGATTTGTGTTGAAGCCTCGAAGACAAGTTCCTCCATGACATTCATCGCTCACGCCAACGCTGGCCGAGCGCACGAGTGAAATTTCAAAAAAGGACTGAAAGTGATGCTGAGCAATGTATATTTCTTTTTTCAGAAATTATTTTGTACGAAGAGATTGGTAGTTTATACAGCAATGCATTTAGGAGTAACAAAGAATTAATTGAAAGCAGATCACGTGCACACTGATGTCAGAACTATACGAAATATTCGTACCACGAAAATTTTATGTAACATATTCTTCTTTTTTTTTGCAGAAAGGACCAAGTTTCGTCTGCTGGAGGATTTCAAAGCGATTGCTCGTCTGGGGATGGTGCACCAGACAAAGTTAGTCACCTCAGCTGCAGAGCCATTACAGCCAGCAGCTCGAAGCGCAGGCCTCGATACCGAGTCCAGTCTCCCGAAGGAGGTTCATCGACTCTAGGTTCATCCAATTCATCCGAAGGAACTTCAACTCCCGGTAGGAGCAGCAGTAGTAGGAGTAGTAGCAGTCCTCCTTCTCCTCATGCTCAGAGGAGCAATAAACGCAAGCGACTCAATCAAGTGGTTCTAGAACTAACTAGTCAACGACTGTGTAGGGCTGCCAGCGAGTCTGCATTTAGTTCATTACGCGACGGCCACAGGAACTTTGAAAATGAGGACAACCGGTCACAAAACGCGAATTGCGATAAAACGAACTCAAATGGACTTTTTCATGCTGCGTCGACATCTGGTCCACAAGTTGGTAGTTGGAACTATCAAAGTGAAGAAAAATGTATTGGCGATCAAGCTCTAAACTTGTCATTAGTCAAAGAGATTCCTGTCAAAGACAACAAAGCGAATAATTCCGAACATGACATTGTCGCTAAGAAGACTGACTTTAGTGGTAAGCCTTTAGCTGTAGAAGATGTAAAGGAAGAAAGAAATTATTTTACCAGCCCTCTGCGTCGAGAACTTGCAACACATAACAAAAAGGAAGTATTAGTTAATATAAAAAATGAAACTGCCAAAGTTTCTCTTCATGAAAGGAAACATTGTCGGAAAAGTAAAGATTTCTCGAAGGCTGTAGGAGATGATGCATCCACCAATAGTTCCAAGGTAATAAGTCCAATTTCAAAGAATTTGAAAGCTCCGTCAAAAATTAATGAAAAGAAAAAATGTCTCTATTTTCTAGAAAAGCCTGAAACTTCAAAAATAAATTCTTCTCACGGTATCAGCAGTGCATCTTCATCGGTTGATGTTTCAAAATATAGGCGTAGTGGAATTTCAAAAAGCCGGCCAGAGTGTGAAAATCCTCCAAAAAAGAACAATAAAGTGTCTCCCTGTTTAGCAAGTGTTCGAACTTTCCCGGCTACTTCAATTGCTCTGAAATCCGGTTTAGCAACATCGGCAATTCAACCTATTTCAAGAAAACCAAAGCTGACTGATGAAAAACTGAAGAAAGCAGCAGATTTACCAGCGCATAAAAATAAAAAATCTGCATTAAGTAGCCTAAGTGGGCAACGACCGAATCCAAGGATCAGACGCACGCGATGCGAAAGTTCAGCGGTCAATATACATGGTATTAGGATCGGAGATCCCACTTCTGGTGGTAGTCGTGTATTATCAGCTACTGCGCCACTGCCCATGTACCCTCGTCATTCAGATTTCACCCGCCAGGCTCCTCAGGAAGCCATGACGGTGGACTCTCCGCTGCCGGGGGGTATCCCTGGATCACCCACGGTGGTGGTCGAAGGGGGAGGAGTCATTCAACGAGTTTCTAGAGTTCCCGCGGGTCATCAAAGCTCGGAAGTATTCAGATTCGATAGTTACGATAAGGAGCGATATGCATGCGGCGCTATCAGTGAGGAAAGCGAGGAAGTGTTCTCTCCCCTGCCAAGATCACCTAATCCTTTGGACTCACCGCACACAATCTATCCTCGTACTACCACAGACTCCCCTAAATTGTCAGTTAGCCCGCTTAGAATAAAAGAAAGAAGCATAGATGAAGACGATGGCGATTTTTCCCATCATCCAGCTTATGCGACTACCAGTGTAATTCGAGCACCACCAAAAGTTTCAGTTTTACGAAGCGAAAATGACGGAAACTCTCTTTCAACGCATTATCTTGGGTGCTCATGCCAGTCCTGTGCTCCTCCAGATCCGCATAGACTGGGTGCATCATTACCTCATTCCCCTTCTTCGTCTCACACGACCTCATCTCCGCACACACCATCTACTCCAATTTCCCCGGCATCGGGATCCGAATATTATCCAACTGGGATATATATCTCTACTCTTTATCGGCGTCGATCGCATTCCGATTCTGATTTGCAGTTATGGGATCAGTCGCCACCAGTTACCAGAGAATCAGTTTTACGCCAAGGGAGGAATGTGCCCAAGCCGATACATATCCCTAAAAAGGGAGGATCTCTAGAGTCTGATCATTCATCTCCACAAGATTCACCACTTGATCTCTCCATGAGGACAGGACCAGGTGGAAAGACCGGTAGTACGAGCAGTAGTGACAGCTTAGGTTTACCAACTGTAGCGATACCTTCAGGTTTGGCTTCACCACATTCTCCTTCCATCCTGCGGACGACGAGTACATCTCCAATGCCTCCTAGGTCCCCAGGAGCGCCAGAGCACCCGCGGCTACCATCTCCACATGCTCCTCTTCTAGGTATAAGACATTCTCGGGAAAGTGTTGCTTTGAGGTACCATTTGGAAGTCTCACCTGTTGTTGAGGAAATGCCTCAGGGAGCTGAAGTAGCGTTCATGTGTCCCGTATGCGGACAAATGTTTAGCTTGCATGATCGGCTGGCGAAACACATCGCATCTCGGCACAAAAGCAAGCAGGTTGAAGTATCCAGTAAGGCATACATGTGTGAAGTTTGTAAGCGATCTTTTGCCCGTTCAGACATGCTGACTCGGCACATGCGGCTCCACACTGGTCACAAGCCGTATACATGCCGAGTGTGCGGTCAAGTTTTTTCCAGATCGGATCATTTATCAACCCATCAGCGAACACACACAGGAGAAAAGCCCTACAAATGCCCTCAGTGTCCCTACGCTGCCTGCCGCCGTGACATGATTACCCGGCATATGAGGACCCACGCCCGGTATGAACTACAAGAATCTTCTTCAATGGAAGAGAGGGGTGAAATAACTCGGCCAGCTTTGCCCGAACGATCGCTCTCAGATGAACACCCAACAGCGGCAGTATTAATAGACTACCCACAAGGAGGATCGCCCAAATCCCCCTCTATAATGCGGCACAACCTCTTGCACCAAAATCCATCTAGCGGGTTGCCTATGCATGTTCAACTTACAGAGCATGAACAAGAAGTGAGCGAATCCCCAAATGACAGACAAAACATAGCCACAAGACAAAATCTATCCATGGCTAACGAAGAAGGATAGTGCCATTACAAATGTGATCAGTAACTCTCTAGAATTTATTTCTTGGAGTTTAAACTGCTCAAACAAAAATGATCTTTTACTCAGCCGACTAAGTACCAAAAGATTGTTTTTTGAGCACAATCTGGAACTCAGAAGTGGCATAAAGTCTATTAGTTAAGATAATAGATTTCGTTCTTTTTAATTCCTTATCCTACGAGAAGAATGTCCCATGTGCGCTATCTCAATTTGCTCAACTTTTCTAAGGCTTTCACACAGTTTACGTAGTTTTTTGCGGAATAAAATAAATAATTTTTTTTTCTGACGGTGAAGCTTCCTTGAAGTTCGTAATCTGCTCAGTATGCTGCCTAAAAGCTCGCTAGTCGTCTACCCACATTCCATGAACGTTACATTTTAGTGTATACTTACGTCTAAAGCCTGATATATCCTTTTGAATGTGCGAGAGTGTAATATCGTTGCCCTCTCAGTCAACCTGTAGTGTGTAAGAATTAGAAAATGCCCTGCCTCTTCTGCCTTAGACGTCTGTAACCCCACAAAATGCTAGGTTTCTGCAACTCATCGGTAATGAACGAAGAATAATTTGAACAACATTTCAATGTCTCTGTAGTAAACCATTATCTAGTCAATGATTTCTTTGTACGTTTGTAACGTTTCTCATCAATGTTTGAATTGCCTTTCAGCATTGAAAATAGTTAAAAATTATTGAGGGATTAAACTTGTAATGTAATGTAGTTAGCCGAGTTACTTTTCTTCAGTGCGAGACATCTAATGAACTGTTCATGTATACTCTGTAGGCCTTGAACGTGCGCTCAACTTCCTCATCTCGTAACTTTTCTCTTTGTATGCTTAAGAAACTTTTATAAACAGTATCATACTTTTTATTGCGAATTTTAACTTGTCTTTCTGCTTCTGAATGACATTGAACCATAGGTAGTTCAATGAGGTATGTACTTTGATTGCATTCGCATCTGAATGGATGAAATTCCAAAGGAATCAGAAGGAGTTTTCACCGGTCTCTACATAGAGAATGTTTGGCATTAAATTTGAGCAACAAGAATTGGGAGGAATTTTTCGCTCAGTAATTTGAAATTTTTGATGAGCCGCAATGTCACGCAAAATTACATAATAGAGGACATTTTAATTATTTTTGGCCGGAAATGATCAATGTACAGAGGAATACACCTAAGTTTCATGTCACATGCACGATAGCTATACCAAAACAACGAATGCTACCGGACCGATTTATAGTGATTTTTAAAATTATTTTATGACGAATGGGTGCGTCAATATTGCATCAATGCGCGTTATTATTCTTCATACATTACAATATTAAAGAGGTTCCCTTATAAAAGTAATACAAATGTAATGATTTTCAAAATTCAAATGCGAGCATTTCATAGGTCTCGAATTTTCATGCTGTCAAAATATCTATAACTTTGCTTGCCAGATTTTTTCTGCTTAGACACTGATGTCAGTATAACATCATATAAAGATATAATAGATAAATTAATATAATGATATAAGTGATTAATGAGATGAGTTACGGTTCAGTTTTAGTGTTACAGTTGCGTGATTTATCGACGCCTTGATCGTAGTCAGAGTTACGCCAGTTACAAAGTCGATGTTCAACTATGAAAATATCTTGTTATAATGGGCATTGTAATTTCATTCAGAAGATGAATTTGTTTTCACTTTGTAGCATGAAGGAAGGAAATTCTATGTTCAAGCATATTATTATCTTTTGTATCACTGTTGATGTAATTACACCGATTTGGAGACAACTTAAGTAAACCTGAGATTCCTCGAATTCAAAGCGAGCTGTCATATAATGAGGCGTAAACTCGTAGTTGACGGGTGCAGGAAAAATACTGAACATGATTCGTAAGTCTTGCCAAGCACTTCCTAAAGCTTGAATGAACTCGAAGACATGCCACGCGTTGTCAGTCTCTGACCCCAACCATGTTGTTCTCATGGCTGAGCTCGAAGACATGTCAAGCGCTGACAGTCTCTGACGCCAGCCATGTTCTCCTCATGGCTAAACTCGAAGACATGCCAAGCGCTGACAGTCTCTGACGCCAGCCATGTTTTCTTCATGGCTGAACTCGAAGACATACCAAGCATTGTCAGTCTGTGACCCAGCAATGTTGCCCTTATAGAGCTGTGTGTGATATATTTAGGAGGTATTCGTGGTGTTAATGAATTATCTATGAGTGTTATAAAGAGTAGAATTAACTATAGTAAAATACCTTGACGCTATTATTTTGCGTGGCTTTATGCTACTGCGTGATCGCTAAGTACATCAACGATTGAGATTCGTCCTCTGCGGATTGACTTTTGTTTCATGGAGAGAAACATCATGGCTGTGGTAAGGATTGACTAGGGTTTCATGGAAATGATTATCTAAGGGACACATTATGCATGGCTATGGTAAATAAATTTTCAAAACTTGTTTATTATTCCATGACAGGTTGAAATGCGTGCAGAAATTGTGTCAATTAGATAAGAATCACACAGAGCGTTTGTTCACCCCAAGTTTATTAGTTGAAAAATAAAGCACCTATATGTAAAATTTTATTGAACATGTAAGCTATAATTGGCAACAATTAAGAGAGATCCTTCCATTTAAACAATATGTTAAGAAAGTATTTTCTCCGGGACACGAGTTGGGGTGTGACGATTATTCTGAAAAGGCATTAGTTGTCTTAAAGGAAATTTTGCTCTACGTTGTGAAATTGAAAGAGTAGTTTGACTTGGTCCGGGCCCAATGACTCATTTTAGTGTGCTGTAAATGTTATCTTCTAGATGTTAGTTTATATTAGCTAGGCATTTAGTGCACTAAAAACCGAAGAAAATATTGTGTCACGTATGCACCATTTGAAAAGATATTAACTATTCTGGCTGGTCCAATATTGATAATGAGGAATGAATGTAAAGTTGGATTATAGAACCGTGGATGTTTTAAAATATTGTTTGCCATTTTATTAAACTAGCTAAATTATGACATATGCATCATATACATTAATTTCGCTCATAATGCTAATTAGTTAAACAACACTATTTATTTGACTATCATTCACAATCGGTAAAATATAAATATCGGTGTATATATATTTATATATGAATTCATTAACCTGTTAATCTTTTCGATGCTTCGTCACTGCCAGCATTCAGAGCCCTACCAAGTGAGGAGCTTTGCTTGCAAATAATTTTTATACAATTTAGATAATATTTTAAAGCAAATTTGGTAGTTTTAACATGAGGTTGATTCGATTGTTATTTACATTTAATTCACAGTTCCGTCAAGACCGCATCGATTTGTAGAATTTTTTGAGAAAATTACCTACGAAAAATATGTTTTAATGCCACTTGATGGAAATTATGTTTTTGCGAGCATTTTTCACCAGATTCTCGATGAAAATTTTATTTTAAAGGCTGGTTGGGTACTTGAGAGGCGTTCAATACGTTGCTGAAGTGCGCCTTTCAAAGAGCGTTGGAATGTATTTTCGTTGAGTGTAACTTCTCGTTTGTCGTATGCAAGATGAAAAGATATATGATGTATTTCAAATAAGCTTGGGAGTATGAATTATTATTGTAAAAGCAATTGAGCATTAATTACATTGTGATGATGGCTGACCCATGGCACTAAACGCAGCCAATATTATCTAATAAAATCTCGAAAATTACTCAGTTTTTTATAGATGACTACAAATTCATCAACATACTATTGAAGCTTTTTTCAAATGTTTCAGATACCTTTTCATCTGTTGAATTCATGTAGCGCGTCCAGCATGCGTCAGTTTACCTCCTCATGCTGAAAGTCGTGCTCGCCATGCGTGGTCAGACGAGCGAAATATTCCTTAGAACCTCTCAAATTTGCTCGATTTTGCTTTTCAACTCAACTTCATCATCACTGAATATAATAAAGACCCTTAATATCTCATACTCAGGAGTTATTAATAATAAATACGTCTATATAATAAAAATTAATTGGAAAAAGTTCGCGCCAGCTAAGCTACATAATTATACTTGCACATGATTTTAACGGAGGTAACACTTTGTTTCATCGTCAAGTTGCAAATAAATTTAATTGTCTTCAAGACTGTTTAGCAAGTTTTCTGAGCACTAATAAGCCAAACTGCAGCTAAAGTTTTAGTTTGAAACTCATTTCATTTATCCGTACCTAAATTCAGAAATATTTTCATCTCTGCTGTTTATGTCGTTGTTATTTTGATGTTATTAGGGCATCAGGCAGTCACTTCGGTACTGGTTTCGTTCAATAAAAAACATTTTCAGTAAAACTAATATTCATTTTGGATAGTTTTTTATTAACAGACTGCGCATGTGGCCACATGATGAGCTAATATGTCAATGTAACTGGCTCCTGAAGACGTGCTAATCCTGCCTATATTTCACGAAGAACAGTTTTCATGTTTGATGGTTAGCCATAGGAGTGTAATAACCGCCGTATTAGATGGTATCTGATGTCGTGTACCAATATCAACCAAAAAATACTGATAATATTTCTTTATATTGTAAATGTAATTTCTTTGCCCATTGCTAAGTCTTGCATTGAGAAATATCACCTTAGACTTGTATGTGAAAATAAATTTGATGAATCTATCGTGCCATTAGTGACTTCTATAGGCACTGCAAGATCTTATACATGTATTGGAAATTATCAGAAAACCGCACTCCCCCGACTAAGTAGTTATTTTTTGGTGATCCTGGTATGCGACCATTAAGATACCTGAAGCAGGTTGCTCGATGTAGAGCATTAATGTTCCTTCAATGTACTCCCCGTCCTCGGTGCGAATGAGATTCAGTTCTTTAAGAACCTGAGAACCTTTCGGTCTTTCGAAAAATTTCTGTTGCGTATGTTTGATTTATTTGGATACATTTTTTTGTTCTTTGAGGGTTTGTTACGTTGAATGAATAAGCGTTTTTTTAATTTAAGTATAAGAATTTATTGTTTTCCTGTGTCAAGTCTGTCCTATAAAAAGCGCCTCTGGGAAAACGAAAAAAATTTACCCATCATGGTTAGTTTGTAACTTTAATTATTTAATCACAATTGCCATCAGACTCGGAAGGGTATTTGTAATATTTTTGGAAAAAGTCGAATGAAAATTAATACGATATCTAGTTATAATGCCATTGTATAATAAAATGGCTGACTGGTATCTGAGTTCTAACAGATTCATATGTGAGATTATTCGAAATTAATTTTGTATTGAAAATGTCGTTATTAATTCATCTTTCTTCTAGTTTGCAATGATTTTTGTCGGAATCAAAACATTTAACAAACAATGTTGACCTTCACGTAACCTTTACGTGACCTTTCTTTTCACGACGTATGAATCATTTTCAATCAAATGGTCAAGTTAGGATATATGTACATATATAGTCGACTTTAAACCAAATTATTCAAGATTCAGTTGATTAAATTGAAATATCTTGGTTTCAACTTTTTATTCAAATTAATGAAATGGATCATTTGAAATTAATTCATTTAACGTGAAAGCGAACACGCATCTTTACGATTATTTAGTTTAATCGTTCGTACATCATTTGACATATTGGCTGTCTGCAGCTATTGTATGCAAATGAGACCTGCCAACTAAAATTAGATGAGAAATCTGTGGTTCATTGACCGATTATTTTCAAGAAAATTCAAGAATTAAGTTCGACCTCAGATGGTTGAGCCGCTTTACTCTTCTGCTCTAATTAAAACTCTATTTATAAAGTCTTATTTTTTAGGTGGTACTCAAGAAGAATTTATGGAATTTTTAATCTCTAACGATAAAGTCTAGCATGAAATTAGAAAAACGTTTGTTTAAGGGTTCAGAAGACGAGCCTTCATTACACTATCATTCATTTCTACACTATCATGTTTAATCATGATAGTATTAATATTAATCATGTTTGCATGGATTAATATTTTCCATTTGGAAAGGATTAATCTATTAATTTATTTCCATGCTATATTTTGAATAGATTAATTCCTACTAAAGTGGAAAAAAATTGTTCTCTTGGTTATAATGTTATTCTTACCGAGTTTCAGATTTCAATAGAGCCTTTGTTATCAAGGGATAACAATAATAAATATGGTAGGTTCGTTTCAACCATTATTATAATAAATGATACTCAATACTTCTACATTTGTAATGAATATGTATAACATTTATTTATGTGAACAAACTTTTCAGCTTCCATCGAACTTAGAAACATTCTTTCTTGCTCTTGAATTTTTTAGTCCATCATAAAATTTTGCTAACCAATTCTTTAGGAAAAATACATATAAACTTGTTACGACACGTCTTTTGTACATATAATAGCTTGTAATTTTGTTAGAAAGTTGTAATTCTTTTGTCGAATATTGCTTAGTTTTCATTGATGTGAATTTCCTGAAATTTACTTAACAAAACGCGAGTAACGGCGCTTGCAAACTGATAAAGACAAATATTGATGAAGAAAGACATTAGTTGTAAGATTTTTTTTTAAATTGATCGCTGGTACTTTACTTATAGTAAAGGGTTTCTATATCATCAGAGTAGATATTTATCGCAGATGTATATAACTTTTTCGATAAGAATTTAACAACTCCGAGCTTCTAATCATAGTTTACACGGATTTATTATTCGGTCTGTGACGTAAACTATTTGAATAGCTTTTTGTAATCCATTGACCTTTTTACGTCTTGAATCCCAATACTTTAGAATTTGGATATTTGCCAATATTTTCAACAGTTTTCTAATTAAAGGACTTAATTTTTTCTAATTAAAGAACTCTAATTAAAGGACAATTTCGTGTTTTTCGTTATGATAACTTTGATCTATCAGCATTAGAGGTATGAACATTTCAGAGACCACCTCTTTAAATTTTTGTTTATTATATAATAAGCACTAAACATCGAAGTATTTGGTAACTCTCCACGTCATACTAACTGCAGGATCTCTTTAACCAGACATGACATTCATCAAAAATGTATCTGAAATTATTGACAAAATTTTAAATTAAATTAGCCGATTTTGAAATAATTGTTTCGCCTCGCACAATGATGACGCCAGAGATGATTGAATTACCACCCATCAAAATAACGCTATCACAAAATTCGCTATGAAAAGGCGAAGGTCGCGAAGCTGAATTAAGTTTGACGCGTATCTACGAATATTTGGAAAAATAACGCAATTCCGATTTTGATGATGAAATTATGACTGAATCCTTTTTTATTTTTAATTTATTGGGAATGAATTTTGAACCTTTATTTTAAAAATCCAATGGCCATTCAAATGTTAGTGACATCTAGAAGATGGCAATACATTGATCTTGTTACAGTTTGATGAAACATTGATAGCGGTTGACGTGATGATGTTGATATACTCAGTGTTATACTGTTTTCAGCGAGGTACCTTTTTAAATATTATAGGTATTATAACAACTTATGACCACCATGTACAAGTTTTTTATGTTAATTTTATGTACATTATTTCTCTCAAAATATTATCGTCTAGTTCGATCGAGTGTGAATGAAGTTATGTTGAATTCCAGTTACGTTGGAGTTCCAAATTTCAACGCGAGTCGTTGAAGTGTTTTAGATTTTGGTTAAGGCCAAAACATCTAAATAAATGTTGAATGTTTTCTCTGAGTCTTTTATTTATCAAAATTTCTCAACATTTTTAGTTAGACAATCTTCTTCATTTTAAAACTGATTTTTTAATTGCACTTTTACCGTAAAATAAAAACACTTGAATACAATCGTGCGCTGATATTTATTAATCAATTTACACTGAAAAACTTCCATTTAAGAGACGCTTTTTGCCAATACTCATCTTATTTCTTATTAAGAGTTAAATTTCAGGTCCAGGTTATTTGTTCCTTCCAATCAATAGCTAGTGATTGCGTGGGCAGAAAGCCCCGTTGCGAGGCTCCTCGAAATCGATGGTGTGCAACCAGGGGCTACATCTAAGGCACTTGACCGCTACTTATAATTGTATCTGCTCCTGTCAAATATTCATCCAAGAATTTCACTCGAATTCCAATAGAAGTTATAGACAGTTGATCGCCGTCTTACATCCCGTTCTACAGATAATAGTAGACCTTTCAATGGTCAATGCTTGACCGGAAAAAACATCGACACAAATCTCCAATTGGGTTATAGCTATCGCAGGCTCGCTCGAGGACATAGCAAGGATTTTTCCATGACTGAACTCTGACCTGTTCCTATAGGATTACTGCGCCAACACACCTGGTCGCATGGAGCCGCATTCCATCGTAGATCTTGAAGAGATTCGGCACTAAACTCACCAAGACTGATGAAACAATGAATTTATTCCTTTCTTCCTTGTATTTTTGTCGTTGAATTCGATTGCAGAGCATGCCAAGTTCGTATTGTTTGGGACTAATCAATTAATAGGCTTTCAGTGACTAGAGAAATTTGACCAATTATCGCAAATAAAGGATGAATAAAAATGATAAAGTAACAACTATAATAAAAAATGAACGGCAAATACAAGAAACCAAATTACAAAATTCTAAACCGTGTGTTTTGCTAGCCCTTGCCTATTAATTCGTAATCATCTCACAGTTTCGGAGCCCCGCTGAAAAAGCACCAATAAATACAAATTATAGACTTGAATTAACATAACACTAGCGAATGAATATAATACACATAAATAATAACTAATATGAATAGTAATGTTCAATATCACAAAAAATTACAACATTACCACGAGATTAATTAACCTAGATTAATACGATAAACAATCCTAGCACTAACCTCTGTGAATAAATAACCACATGTAACGTAATATCGTTGAAATTATTATATTCAAACGCGTTCCTAACAAAGCTGTACGAGTATGTTTTTCGCCAAATGAAATTGTCATTTCACCAACAAATGTAATATTGT